CCCCAAAACCCCAAAACCCCAAAACCCCTAATTTTAATAATCATATTGAATATTGGCTAAGGTAAAAAATAATAAATAGACAATTAACAATATTTTATTTTGGATTTGTTTTAAAATGGTCGATTTATTGAGATAGACAGCCAACGGCAGTCATAAACAGCAATCAAGTTCCCTTCCATATAACCTTCAGGTTTTAGAAAACAGAGATCTACTTAAATCTTCATTCACAATTTAAAAGTTCTCATCTGGTTTAAAGGAAGCTATTCAAGATGCGAATTTATTTGATGCGAGTAGCTTAGGAAGTTAAGGAGGCTCCTTTTCTAACCAAAATAAAACTAAAGGCAAAAAGAAGGGAGGGTCTACTTAGCCATATCAAGAATAAAAGTCTAATGTAAAGAGTTAAAGCAACAAGCCAGAATCACAATAGAATTCCTAAGCGAATATGTATACTTCAGATATAACATAAAAGAAAGCTAGCAAAATCGGTTAAGCTTTGGATGAGAAAGATTAAGAAATGCAACGACAGATTGGAAAATTAAGGAATCAGCCAACATATATTGAGCAAGAATTTTTCGAGCAGCTCGAGAGAGAAAGATTTTTATCTAAATTGAAGTAAGAAGAGAAGGGCGGCTAGCAATAATCTACAAATTAAACTCAAGGAAATAGCACTGCGAGGGCTTCAAAGCTAGGAGTTATAAAAGAAGCCAGGAACACTTCTTTGGATTAGATTAAAATAAAGAGTAAAGGTGATAGATCAAAATCAACATTAAAAGTGAAGAGTGGTTAAAAAGATAGAATGAATATCACATAAGTGCTTGAGTTCAAGCAAAAGAAGCCTTAGTTCTTTAATGATCCTAAGATAACTTAAAATATTCAAATTGGAGGCAATGTGTTCCAAAAAGGAATGAGGCAAGACCTTGTTAAACAAGGATTCTAAAAACTATTAGGGAAAGTCTTGGAGAGTAATCTAACATTAAGATAAATTAAAAATGGACAGACCTTGTTTGAAAAGGAAATGATGCTAAAAAATTACAACAACCCATACCTTGATGTTGATAAAATGAGAGAGGACCTCTCAAGATATATAGAATAGACAAAGCCAAAGTCAGAACTCAATCAGCAGGAAAAGGATTTAAATACCAGCTTATATATGGAGACAGGAAGTCCTGGTAAAAGGGAGTCAATTTTAAATGTATCACATGGTAAAGCTAGCGTCCTCAATCAATTGTCTAAAAACACTACAAGTATTATAGAGGATTCCATTTAAACAAATATAACACAAATGAACAATTTTTCGACATAAATGAAAACTTAAACGCTACTCCCACCTTTTTCTATTCTTAAAAGGGACAAAGCACTAGAAATATAAAAATAATTGATATTCCCACCCAGCCCTGCATTTACTAATCCTTTGAAATCAAAACACAAACTTGAATCAGTGGTTGATTTCTGTAAAACTAAAAACATCCCATTTAAAGATGAAGAAGATAGATTTTACAAAATAAATTAGAGCAAGTAAAGCCATAAAGTTTACCAAAGCTACCTCAATAAATGCTTTGAAACAAATAGACCAGATGAATTTGATATTGGTTTGTAAAAGCTAATGAAGTTAGATAATGAACAGATTCAATTGATTATAAAGCAAGGTGGAGATCCTAAGAATATCAAAAGTTCATCATTAGAACCAGTTGGAGTAAGATAACCTATTTATATGCCTCGACTAGTAAAGGCTATAGATAATTCCTTTAACGAATAAGGTATTGGAAAGAGGAAATAGATCAGGAACAATGATACAAAGGCAACAAAATCTGAGATAATATCATAAGGATAGTAAACCCAAATGATGAATGCATCATCAGGTAGTCTTGAAAATGTTCTTGCTAAGCACAAATAAAATAGTTAGCCAAAGAATAGTGACATTACTCACATTTAAAACTATAAAACATAAACTGGCTTTAATTTCAGTAAGCTTGAAGTCAAACAGAAACAGATACTCTAGGAGCTTCCAAATAAATTAGATAATCCCTACAGAGAGGAAATAAAGCCAAAGAAAAAGCTGTCTAAGAAGAAGAGAAACGACCCAGTTAGAAAGATTTTACTGACAAATAAGCAGATTTAAAAGCAGAAAAGAATCTATAATGAAAAATTGATGAGGATATTAGACAGAGTAGATCTAGACAGACCAATATTAATGCATGATAAACTGGATATAATATGGGGAAATAATGGGCAGACACCAACTGGATTTATGGCGAATTAAACTTCTAAGAGTGTTGCACCAATTAGAGCGAATTCAACTCTTTATAATAAAAGTAATTTGATGAATAGCAGCCAGTATACCTCCAATCAAGGTGATGAAAGCAATAAGATAGTCAATCAATTTAATGTTAAGGCAGCCTTGGATAAGAGAAGGCTTTAAAGAAATATTATGAACTAGAAGCAGGTTATGGCATATAACTCTATGCTTGAATATCTTGGAAACAGAGTGGATCGATTTATGATGAGTAAAGATAAAACTCCAATTAAGGTGAAGCCAGATGAAAAGGAGAGGCAGTTCTTAGATGCATTTAAGTTGATAGTGGAGAGTTGTTATACTATAGAAGCCGATGATTTCAGGCAAATATTAGATTTTATCAACATTCATGATATAAAGGACAACGATAATTATGAGAGAACAAGACAGTTCTTCAAATATGTTAGTAAATTGCTAGGCTTTGAAGAGGAAATTATAGATGAAGTCCTAGAAGAAATGGTATCTCAGTTCTAATGAGCTCAAAATTAATACACCTCCTTTAATAATAATTTGATATTTGATATATATTTAATCTAGCTTTATTTCTTAAAATATTCATCCACTTTTATAAACCATTAAAAGTAGCAAGGGGTTTTGGGGTTTTGGGGTTTTGGGG